ATTATTTTTTTGGGGGGGAGGGGGGTGACTAGGGGTTTGGGGACCCCTAGTCACCTGGGGGGGAGGACATTATGTCCCCCCGTTATTGTTATTTAGGGCCCCCACCCAACGCGAAGGGGTGGGGGCCTGGAGGGGAGGACCTTAGGTCCCCCCTTACTGTTATTTAGGGCCCGCACCCACCGCGCAGGGTGGGGGCCGGGGGGAGGACCTTAGGTCCCCCCCTTATTGTTATTTAGGACCTCCACCCGTCGTGCAGGGGTGGGGGCAGGGGGGAGGACCTTAGGTCCCCCTCCCTTATTGTTATGTAGGGCCCCCACCCGCCACGCAGGGGCACGCAGCAGTGGGGGCCAGGTGGGAGGACCTTAGGGCCCCCACCCACCACTCAGGGGTGGGGGCCAGGGTGGAGGACCTTAGGTCCCCCCCTTATTGTTATTTAGGGCCCCCATCCACCCGCGCAAGGGTGGGGGCCGGGGGAGAGAACAGTAGGTCCCCCCCTCCACATTCTTATTTAGGGGTGGGGGCAATAAGGTTTTTTTATTTTTGGCTGCTCACTGTTAACTAGACACGCCCTACTCGCGGTATAGCGCGTAGGGGCTAAATTTACTAATACTAAGTAATTTTTACTTAGTATTAGTAAATGTGGCTGAAAGACCAATTTAGGTCTTTCAGCCTTTAGGTAGATAGCTCCCTAATACTGTGTGAATTAGGGAGTTATCTACTAAGCGGCTGCTTATTTCATTATTTTTAGTGATTTCCCTATCCACATTTCTTTGCAGGGCACTTGTCCTACTCTTACCCCCATTTTACTTCCTTTTGCAGCCATTTTTGTAGCCAAAAGTTCAGGTCCCCATTGACTTCAAGTTCGAGCCCGAATCCTGACTTTTTTTCAAAGTTTGGCCGAACCCGCCGGACCCGAACATCCAGGTGTCCTCTCAACTCTAGTCAAATACCCTCCATACAGTTATTTGTAAGGAAGTGCTGGTATTTTTCATAACGATGCTGCAGGGATGAAAAATGTATATCTACTTAGGCATAATTGTTATATACATAAAGTATATAGAAGCATATAAAATGAGTTTACAATTGTAATTTGGGCATGTTCACACATAAATAATTAAAATTATCTATTTTAACATAATTTACATTTTCTCATTTACTCTATAAAATTTAAGAGCAAAATCATGTCAAGTGGGGGTAATAACATTTTAGAATTTATACAATAAGGTTGGTGATGGATTAGGGTTGGTGTTTAGGCTACAAATATTCTAGAGTTCAAGAGGATCACCCCTAATACCAGTTAGTTAAAGGACCGCTCTAGGCACCCAGACCACTTCAGCTTAATGAAGTGGTCTGGGTGCCAGGTCCAGCTAGGCTTAACCCATTTTTTCATAATTATAGCAGTTTCAGAGAAACTGCTATAATTATGAATGGGTTAAGCCTACCCCCTAATCCTCTAGTGGCTGTCTCATTGACAGCCACTAGAGGCGCTTGCGTGCTTCTCACTGTGATTTTCACAGTGAGAGCACGCCAGCGTCCATAGTAAAGCATTGTAAATGCTTTCCTATGAGACCGGCTGAATGCGCACGCAGCTCTTGCCGCGCGTGCGCATTCAGCCGGCGGGGCGTAACGGAGGCGGAGAGGAGGCAGAGAGCTCTCCGCCCAGCGCTGGAATAAGGTAAGTTTTTACCCCTTTCCTCCTTCCAGAGCCGGGCGGGAGGGGGTCCCTGAGGGTGGGGGCACCCTCAGGGCACTATAGTGCCAGGAAAACGAGTATGTTTTCCTGGCACTATAGTGGTCCTTTAATGTTTACTAAGGTAAGAAATAGGTCTGTATGTGAAAAGTCTAATAGTATGTTAAAATCCTGTCCTCCCACGTTTATTCAGCATTTCCATGTGTTTTTATTACTATAAGCAGCTGTCTGTCCTTTGAGACACTTTGGTCTCAGTTTAATAAGCTATCCAAATGATTCAATACTTTTAGAAAAACTTTCTATATGATTTATCTACAAAAAAAGAGAGCTTGTAGTTGAGTAGCAGGTGTCAATTTGTCTAATCAGATGACTGACTAAGTCCCAAAGATGAATGAGTCTAGAGAAACATTATCTAAAAACCAGTACCAGTCCAGGCACTCATAGAAAAGTACCCATGCACATTATGTCTGGTAGTTTTAAAGAGGCTCTGTCACCTTGACCTTTCTCCTATTGTTTTCTTTTCTCTTTCAGAATATGTTATTCTTTTCTTCATTTCTGATCTATTTCTTCAGGGCCTCCATCAGGGGGTGACAACCATGATGGTTGTCACGGGCCCGGCAGCCCTGAGGGGCCCGGCCGTCTGAGCCCCACGTGTAGCGGCGGAACTGCCGCCGGTGCAGTTGCACTGGGGCCCGCACGCTGATGGGGCCTATCAGGTGGCCCACGCACCTAGGGCCACCCGATGGGCCCTATATCTTCAGGGGCCCAGTCAGCGCTGTGGCCGTGTAATAGCGCGATGGGGCATCTGTGTAAAAAAAAAAAAAAAAAACCCAGCCGCAGCAAGTGCTACTGGGAGGAAGTGGTCCCAGCTCACTCCGCACGGGAGGAGTGCGCACCCGGCAGTGAGGGAGAGCCGTGTCGGCTCCCAGTCCCATCAGCCCCAGCCACCCTTCTGCAAAGAAAAGGTAAGAAACAGGAGGGTGGCTGGAAAATGAGCTATGTATGTCTTTATGTATGTTATTATGTATATCTGTATGTCAGTATGTCTGTATGCATTTCTGTCTGTATGTATGTATGTATGTCTGTATATATGCATGTATGGCAGTCTGAATGTATGTCTGGATGCCATTATGAATGTATGTGTGTATGGATGTCAGTGTCTGTATGTCTGTCAGTATGTCTGTAGGTCATTATGAATGTATGTTGGTGTCTGTATGAATGTTAGTGTGTATGTATGTATGTGTCTGTATGTCATCATGCATCTGTGTCTGTATATGTATGTCAGTGTGTATGTATGTGTCTGTATGTCCTCATGCATGTGTGTCTGTATGTATGTTAGTATGTGTCTGTCTGTCACTATGTATGCCTGTGTGTTTGTATATGTGTGTATGTCTCAGTATGTGTGTGTCAGTATGTATGCCTATACGCTTGTATGTCTGTTTCAGTATGTGTGTCTGTTAGTATCTATCTATGTGTGTGTATCTGTGTCCTTTTGTATCAGTGTGTGTGTTTGTGTCTGTGTGTGTATTCCTGTGGGCAGGATTTGGAAGCAGACCCTGTGGGCGGGATAGGAGGTGGGCCCCAAGGGGGCCCAGACCCTGAGCTGAGTTAAGAGCCCCAAAATTGGGTGGCGGCCCTGTATTTCTCTTTAAAACATAAGACAAAGTAGGGACTACTTTGTCAAGATAGTGAAGCTAGCCTTAAGCTCCACCCTTTGTCAAGATTGTCAAGCATGGGTAAAATACATTAGACGAAGTAGTCCCTGCTTGTCTCATGTTTTTAAGAGAACTAGTTCAGAAATGATTAAAAGTACAGATTCTGAAAGAGGAAGGAAAGATGAAACAATAGGAGAAAGGTAAAATGAGGTGACAGAGCCATTGTGTCACGGCTACTATATGACCCAACACGCAAAACTATGTAAACACAAATAACATATACCGGGCCTTAGAAGGGCCGGACTTAACGTAAGAGAATAGTCAATAAACAATCTGAAGTCTAGGTTACAGTAACATACACTAAACTTAATACTAGCCAAAAGTCAGGATACCAGAAGTAGGGAAAGTTAAAATCAATGAACAGGAACGCACTCTCAGACAACCAACAAGTGGAAACCACAATAGGGCACTGAGAAAAGGCTACTCAGAGTTTAAATATGCCTCTCTGTGCATTGATTGGTTTAAACATGACTTTTGACCCCAAAACGTGCATGTGCATCGATGACGTGACGTCACATGCACGTAGGCACTATTTTTGTTAAGGGCAATAGGATTATCATTAGAACACCGCTCCGGCTGGGAACCGTCGGGGACGAGGATCGAGCGGCAATCTGCCGCGATCCAGGTAAGTAATTTCCCTTTATGGCACGACCACTCTGCTCAAATGCGGACCAGGGACTTTACAGTATTGGTGCGGCCACATTTTTCTGACGCGGGCACACCGACGCAAGCACACAGGGACGTGACACACTAACTGCTGGTTTCAGAATTTTTTGGTTTTTTTTCCTCACTATTGCATTAACATTCTGATACTGATACTGCATGGAACAATGTGAACTAGTCTATATATGTGGTAAGGAAAGAAAAAAAAAAGAATACATCATAACTCCAGGACCAAGTACAGAAACAGCATGGGAAAAAGGATGAAGTGGAGGAAAAAACCCTTGAATATGATGGTCTTCTCTGTCTTGAAAAATTTCTAAATCCACTAGGTAAAGACACTTAGTTTTCTTCAACATCGTGAGAAAAAAAATAAACATTATGACTGCATGTGGTAATAAATACCACATACAGGAAATATAGCTACCCACTTAAAACCAACTACCTGTTTTGAGAGCACTTACTTTCTTCTCCCCTCTTCGTTGTTTCCATGCAGTCCTAAAATTCTAAACCAGCTCCTACAGAGTATGGAAGGAGCAGTAAGACAACAAGGCTAAATGGAGTTAAAGGAACACTATAGTCAACCAGACCACTTCAGCTCAATGAAGTGGTCTGGGTGCCAGGTCCCCCAGGTTTTAACCCTGCAGCTGTAAACATAGCAGTTTCCGAGAAACTACTATGTTTACATTGGGGTTAATCCAGCCTCTAGTGGCTATCTCATTGACAGCCGCTAGAGGCGCTTCCGCGACGCTCAATGCGAAAATCACATTGAGCACGCAGAACGTCCATAGGAAAGTGGCTCTGGCCGCGCATGCACATTTGGCTCCACAGATGTGTAAGTGGTTGTGGTGGCAGTTCTGGCACTTGGAGCCCTATAGATGTGTAAGTGGTTGTGGTGGCAGTCTGGGCACTGGGAGCCCTATAGATGTGTAAGTGGTTGTGGTGTCAGTCCTGGCACTGGGAGCCCCTGTCCATTAGAATAGTGGGCAGGGGACTCCCAGTGCCCAAACTGCCACCACAACCACTTACACATCTACATGGATCCCGCCTCCCACTGCCAGGACTGCCACCACAACCACTTACACATCTGTAGGGCTCCCAGTTCCAGGACTACCACCACAACCACTTACACATCTATAGGGCTCCCGCCTCTCAGTGCCAGGACTGCCACCACAACCACTTACACATCTGTAGGGCTCCCAGTTCCAGGACTACCACCACAACCACTTACACATCTATAGGGCTCCCGCCTCTCAGTGCCAGGACTGCCACAACAACCACTTACACATCTGTAGGGCTCCCAGTACCAGGACTACCACCACAACCACTTACACATCTATAGGGCTCCCGCCTCTCAGTGCCGGGACTGCCACAACAACCACTTACACATCTGTAGGGCTCCCAGTGCCAGGACTACCACCACAACCACTTACACATCTATAGGGCTCCTGCCTCTCAGTGCCAGGACTGCCATTTACACATCTGTAGGGTTCCCAATGCCAGGATTGCCACCACAACCACTTACATAACTATAGGCCTCCCAGTGCCCGGACTGCCACCACAAACACTTACTAGACATGTGCAATTAGTTTCATGCAATTTGGACATTTGAATGCTTACGAAGTTCCAAAGTGCCAAAGTTCCGAATTGCCAAAGTTCAGAATTGCCGAAGTTCGGTAGTTCGGAAGTGACTAAACTAACCTAATGCCATTGGTACTAGATATGTGCAATTAGTTTCATGCAATTTGGACATTTGAATGCTAAGAAGTTCCAAAGTGCCAAAGTTCCGAATTGCCGAAGTTCTGAATTGCCGAAGTTCGGTAGTTCGGAAGTGACTAAACAAACCTAATGCCATTGGTCCGAATTGCCGAAGCAGACTAATTTTTTTACTTTCCCGAATTTCCAAACTGAACCTAATTTTTTGCCTACACATCCCTAGCATTGAACTACGCAGGGGAGTAGTATCAAATATAGATAGTTTAGATAGTCAAGTATAGATAAAGAACATTATAGAGAACATTATGTCAGAAGAGAGGAGTAATATGACTAGTTGGATAAATCCAGTCAATCACATTGGCTTCTTATAACATACAAAAGTTGTAGCACTGTAAGCACATTGAACAGCCAGCCATTGGAGTGCCTTGATATCTTTTTGTTGTTACTTGAGGTCAAGGGTACAGGATTATGCTTTTGATTTTTGTATTTTTTACAATACTGAATAAGGTGAATACTCTCTATGGTAGCCAAAAGATGTAATGCTTGTAGAACTACAACTCCCTTACACTTAGCTAGTTGAGCAAAAACTAGAGATCTACATTGTGGGCTCTCGTGCTGAACAGATTAAAGGTTAGAAAATTATTACATATCTTTAGGTTATATGAGTAAATGCAGGTGTTTAAACTGGTTTATAGCACAGAACATACTCTAGTGCTATAGGGTAGAGAATGGTAGTGTTTAATTTTGTTTAGGATGGGAGTTAGCCAATATACTAGGGGAATGGGCACTCCTCTAGATAAATTATTTGGACTTTTTATAAATCTAGCTAGTTATTCAACTAGTAAGGGGAATGGGAAATAAATAATACTACAAATAATTTTGGGCATGAGAAGTGCATTTTAAACAAGCTCAGAGTGTGTTTTTTTCCCCTCCACTACTGCATTATCAGGCTAGAACAAAATTGTGTTATTGAGCTGCAAAATCCTATGAAATAGAAGCTGAGAATGGCATTTCCAATGTATTTCGGCCCATAATAACTTCATCTCAACAGGGATCACATAAGATTACCTAATTGCAGATATATTTATTTAGTTCTTTCAAAAAGCATACCCAGTAGTTTCTGCACTACTGAATCATTGATGAGATTAGATGTTTCCGTGTATTGTTTCAGCACCGCTTGCCAGTTTTACTGCAGTTCTTCGATGCTCAGAGTTTGGCTATTCCTGTAATAAATCAGCATAGACGTCTTGCTGAAGTTGGAATAGTTTGATGACTTCGTTTATTTTAACCTTACTATAAAATATAACTATTAAAAAAAGTTTATTTAACTCTTATAGGCCCATTTAAATCCTTACAGGATAAAAAAAAAAAAAAAAACAGACAAACAAAGAAAGCTGATAGTCATTTAAATAAGCATAATGAATAATGTATAGGAAGTTTACAGATAACATTTATCGCTCAATGAATCACGCTTCGTACAAAACAGAGTTGCTATGGTCCACTGCTAAGACATCCTTAATATGCCCACATTTCAATACTAAGACCAAAAAACATTAATTCACTGAATTGTAACATTGTGCAGTTCTTGAATGTTATCTGGATTATGTCACAACAATAAAACATGACTAAATGTCTTCCTCCCTGAGAAGTCAATTTTACTAAGAGATAAAATAAAATTGCAAGTTATAAAACAAGAAGTTGAATTAGAAGAGCTTGGCCGACTGTAGCCAATTACCCAAATTTCAAATACTTTTGATTTTGAAGGTCATTTGAAACAGATAAACAAAACAACCGAGTACATAGTTTGTAATGACAAATTAGAAACCTTAGGGAATGGAAATCAAATGGATCTGGTTCACTTAATGATAACATTGTGTTGTGCTTGAATCATTTAAATTCCTGCAAGTATTCAGAAAAAGGTTGCACAAACAGAATTTACAAAAGAACCATTTGGATTCTCTTTAAACAGTTTATATTATCATAAAAACTCAACAAGCTACATATTTCTTATACAAAATTACATGAAGAAATGATCTTATTCTCTGTTTCTTAATAAAGCAAGCTGTACCGTGTTAACATAGTGTTCATGTTTGTACCAAGTGCCAGTAAATGAGTGGGCTTTCACCCCATACTGGCATTAATTGTCACTCCTGTCACAGAACTGACAGGTCAGTGGGTAGTAATAGTATATATGTAAGCTAAAAATATTTCAGATCATAGAATATTATACGTCTGTAATGTTTTCTTCTAAAGTTACTCCTCTAAAACAACGAAGATTGATGTATGTGATACTAAATCTATTTTGTGTTTTAGGCCAATATGGAGATTTATAAGACCTTTTGTTGCCCGTAATCAGGTTAAAAACATCTATTAATTTACATACAAGCAGTGATCAGTGGTTAGCCAGTTGTGTCTCTAATGCTGTGAATTATTTTTACCAAACATATCTAAACCCAAATTTTACGCCATGACAGGAGGCTTAATATTTTGCATTAACTTTCGTTATTAACTCCATGGCAGCAAAGAAAAAAACAGTTGAAATAAAGAACCAATCAGAACGTAGTCAGAGTATATATAAGTCTAAGCATATCCATCTCACTTCCTCTTCCTTTGCTGCTCCATCACAAGTCAGATCAGAGTACTAATTTCCTTAACTGTTTATTATTCAATTGTGTTATAGTCTTCTAGTTAATCTTTATTGTGTTTGTTACTTTCCTGGGGGTTGCAGGGGATCCCTTAAATATTTTATACCTATTGGGCTGTTAACTGTTGGAGGGGCTATCGCCTCTCCCCTCAGAGCCTCTTCTGAGGCAGCAGCGTTTTCACCTTTGCTTCCTCCCTATGGTGGCTGCGTTCAAAACTTTCACCTTCCTTTCCCGCGCTGTTCACACTGTAATCTGTGCGTACAGAGCGGGCAGTCACTGTGTTCGTGCATTGTGGCACGAACGGACACTGGCTGACTTCCACGACTGTTTGCACTATAATTGTGCGAACAGAGCGGCCAATTACAGTTCGTGCCTGTTACAAACTGCCATTTGTAACTGTTATTTTATTTGACAAATTGCCCTGCTTCCCTGTGTTATGGAGAAGCCTAATTGCCAGCCTTCTGCCCCATGACTATGGACCTAGCGTGTATGGCGATTTGACTGTATTTGTGGGATCTGAGCGCTGTTTGGATATATTGAGCGCTCAGATCCAAGCCATCTGGGGATAGGTTGAATGTGGGGGTTCTGTTCAGTTCATTAGGAGTTATGTATTTTTGTGTCTTTTTGTGTCTTTTGCTAACATGTGGTTAATGGAGTCTGCCTCTATCCCTGGATAATTGGATTACTTTCCTCATTGTCCAGGATAGAGGCCTCTGTAAAACCGGTTTGGCCAGAAAACCATGCTGCCAGCCAGGCCCCAAAAGACACTTTTGCTAACTTTTGAACCCCTTGTCTGATTTGTGCCATTTTTTAATATGTTGCTCCCCTTAATGGATTGATTCCAAATATGTAATTTTTATGAAGATTGGATGTGTAGTTTGGAAGTTATAGTACATGTATAAAAACTGTATTTTTACTGTTCTGTTTTAATTATGTTATGTGATTATCTGAGGGATGGGAATTTCCCCGAATGTATATTGTTCCGATTGGTTATACTGCTAATTATGTGGGTGTCTCCCTTGCATGGGCAGAATCTCATAAAAGCAGAGTGTGTGCCATTAAACATCAGATCTTCTTGACCCTCAATACGTAGCCTTGTCTCGTTATTGGAGGGAACTGCTATATCACACTGGGGATTGCTATGCTCTGCATACTCCCCTGAGCTTTTAATCACTTAGCTCTTTTAAGAGCTGTTCCTGTTATGCTCTCCTGGAGGAGAGGTCTTCCCCACACGGTCCTGGAGGACAGAAGCTGATCCAGGGTGGAAGGAAGACGGCGAGACTCCAGTTAAGCTACGGCGGTTGTGGAGTCTGCGGTGGTTGTGGTGTCAGCTGCAGTGTTTGGAGTCCTCAGGAAGCGCTAGGAGCATCCATCAACGGAGGGTACTCGGTCGGAGTACAGGGAGCTCCGTTACATTGGTGGCAGCGGTGGGATGGCGTCCTAGTGCGAGGAGAAGCAGCTCGGAGACACTGGTATCGTATGAGAGGTTATTGAGGGCAACGCTAGCCACTGTGCAGCGTCCCTAACTACAGCAGCATGGAGCAGGGATGGATAGAGCCCTGCGAAGAGCACCTCAACATGATACGTCGCTACGAGGACGACGCTTACATTGAGGAGGTAAAGAGGCGGTTGGTCTGCTATGGCCCAGACCTTTCGAATGAGGTGGTCCACCAAGTAATGCGCCAGTTGAGTGCTGAGAACAGTGCGGCAATGGCCTTTGAGCGACAACTGTGGAGGTTGAGGATATGGACACCTAGTCTCCAGCGGCAGTGCAAGTTACAGGGAGCCGAAGGTGTCGTCCTTCCTCCACAGCGGCAGTGCAAGTTACAGGGAGCCGAAGGTGTCGTCCTTCCTCCCCAGCGGCAGTGCGAATTCCAGGGGGCCGAAGGTGTCGTCCTTCCCCCCCAGCAGCAGTGTGTCCTACAGGGAGCAGAGACAGTTGGGGTCTCTCTCCAGCAGCAGGACAATGTTATGGGAGTGGAGACAGGCGGTCTCTCTCTCCAGCGGCAGCCTGTGTTTCAGGGAGAGGAGCACAGCACCCTATCTCCCCAGCGGCAGCTTACTCTACCAAGGGGAGACACCAATCTCCCAGATGGCGCAGATGGGACCGTGGTCTCTGTGCCTGACCTACAGGGATGCTGGACAGCCTGTCCAGATCCCCAACTACCCTCACAGGGACAACAGGAAGAGGGGGTAAGTACGAATTCCCCTCCCCAGCTAACTCCTAACTTGGCCCCAGGGTTAACAGAGGAGATGTTAACCCCCACTGACTCCCATGTTCCCCTGGCTACTGAGCCGGACTATGTTCCCAGCACCCCAGCGGAAGAGCTGGCAGCTGGGCAGAGTGCAGTCGGTCTCTGCCCTCCCTTTGTCCCTTGTCCAGAGCCTGATGTCCTGCAGGCTATACCAGCGGAAGAGCTGGCAGCTGGGCAGAGTGCAGTCAGCCTCTGCCCTCCTTTTGTCACTTGTCCAGAGCCTGATGTCCTGCAGGCTACACCAGTGGAAGAGCTGGCAGCTGGGCAGAGTGCAGTCGGCCTCTGCCCTCCCTGTGTCCCTTGTACAGAGCGTGACATTCTGCCGGCTACCCCAGCGGAAGAGCTGACATCAGGGCAGAGCCGCCGCTGGCCTCTGCCCTACCGACCCCCTTGTTACAGGACTGGTCTGCAACCCCCTCTCCCCAGCAGAAGTGCGGGCATCAGGGCAGAGCGCCGCTGGCCTCTGCCCCCCAAGTACCACCAGCTATTTGCCCAGCTGCACCAGGAAGGCAGAGGATGCTGCATTTTCATCCTACAACCTGGAACCTACATCCAGTACTGTTTATTGTGGGGGGGCTACTTTGCTACTTGTTATTTGTGGGTGGGCTGCGAGACTAACTTAGGCACTGACCGACAGGAGGTCAGGTGCCTGGTTAGTCTCCCTCCAAAAGGGGAGATATGTTACAAACTGCCATTTGTAACTGTTATTTTATTTGACAAATTGCCCTGCTTCCCTGTGTTATGGAGAAGCCTAATTGCCAGCCTTCTGCCCCATGACTATGGACCTAGTGTGTATGGCGATTTGACTGTATTTGTGGGATCTGAGCGCTGTTTGGATATATTGAGCGCTCAGATCCAAGCCATCTGGGGATAGGTTGAATGTGGGGGTTCTGTTCAGTTCAATAGGAGTTATGTATTTTTGTGTCTTTTTGTGTCTTTTGCTAACATGTGGTTAATGGAGTCTGCCTCTATCCCTGGATAATTGGATTACTTTCCCCATTGTCCAGGATAGAGGCCTCTGTAAAACCGGTTTGGGCCAGAAAACCATGCTGCCAGCCAGGCCCCAAAAGACACTTTTGCTAACTTTTGAACCCCTTGTCTGATTTGTGCCATTTTTTAATATGTTGCTCCCCTTAATGGATTGATTCCAAATATGTAATTTTTATGAAGATTGGATGTGTAGTTTGGAAGTTATAGTACATGTATAAAAACTGTATTTTTACTGTTCTGTTTTAATTATGTTATGTGATTATCTGAGGGATGGGAATTTCCCCGAATGTATATTGTTCCGATTGGTTATACTGCTAATTATGTGGGTGTCTCCCTTGCATGGGCAGAATCTCATAAAAGCAGAGTGTGTGCCATTAAACATCAGATCTTCTTGACCCTCAATACGTAGCCTTGTCTCGTTATTGGAGGGAACTGCTATATCACACTGGGGATTGCTATGCTCTGCATACTCCCCTGAGCTTTTAATCACTTAGCTCTTTTAAGAGCTGTTCCTGTTATGCTCTCCTGGAGGAGAGGTCTTCCCCACACGGTCCTGGAGGACAGAAGCTGATCCAGGGTGGAAGGAAGACGGCGAGACTCCAGTTAAGCTACGGCGGTTGTGGAGTCTGCGGTGGTTGTGGTGTCGGCTGCAGTGTTTGGAGTCCTCAGGAAGCGCTAGGAGCATCCATCAACGGAGGGTACTCGGTCGGAGTACAGGGAGCTCCGTTACAGTGCCTTTCTACACGAACGGGCTGACAGGCTCACCCGTTCGTCCAGTTTTGCACGAATGGTCTATTTATACGAAAGGCCACTTCCTCTAAAGTGGTATTCTGTTCGTGAACTCATGCGGGCGCTGCAAGCAGTCCCTGTCTATAGTCACTTTCCCCGCAAACTATTTTCGCTGGCTTTTCCTGTCAGCTAGCCCACGTCTCTCGCGAGACCTACGACAGCCATTTTGTTGGTGTAGTTTTGGCAGAGGATCACACTCATCAAGGCAAGGTTCCTGTTGAAGGTTTTTCTGCAAAATTATCAGAGGTGAATTCCAGTTTCTCACAGGGACCTGTGCAGGTTGGTGTTACTATCCCTGGGGAGAGGGACTGCCAGTTAAGGTATACCTGAGTAGTCTGGCAAGGGGTGAGCCCCCATTTGGGTAATTCCCTGAGTGCTGCCTAACGGAATCTGTTAAAGCAGTTCCGATTTCCTGGGTGAGCCCCAGTGTTAAAGATTTTGTTTTTTCACGCCACTGGGCGACAAGCATTATACGGCCTGTCTCAGTTCCTCCCACATGGTTCTTCTACCTCGCATACCTGTTCCTGTTAGTGCCCGAATTATGGAGGACACACAGAACCCGATTGACCTTCAGGCCATGATCAACACAGCGGTGGCTCTGTCCTTGGAGAAGGCGATGGCGAAGGTGTTACCAACGGCCTCTAAAACTAGCAAGCCAGTTGGCAAGCATTCCCACAACAGGGAGGACTCGGATGAGTCAGATGACTCCTCTAAGGAGAGACAATGCCCGGTGAAACACCCCTGGAAGGGCGAGGAGTCCAAGAAGGCCGCCAACAAAGGCAAGGTGCCGCTGAAGCGCAGTAAGCGCCCTGTGACCACGGCCCCCACATCCACTCGGGATTTCCTCGTATGAGGACAAAGATATGCCCCACTCCCTCTCCATCCTGGATGAGTGGCAGGCAGAGGTCTCAGACTCCGAAGAAGGCGATCAGGGCTCCAACGCCTACGTCAGGGAGACCTTCCGTTGTGAGCCCCAGTGTAAAGGAGATGTGGAGTCATCCGCTACAGCTGCTATGCAGGAACAGGAGATATTCCTGGACGCCACGGGGCAGAGGATGTTTGACCCCAGGAACATACGGCATCCCCGCTCCATTGAATGAGCCCCGTCTGAGCACCTCCTCAGGTTTATGCACTTTTGGATCCGCAAACCCCTAGAGAAACATGTACGCAAACGGATGAGGGCATTGTGCTCCAGACCATCCCTGCCAGACAAGGTGACTTTCACGCCAGAGTTCGACCAACTCATGCTGGCCTATATGGAGCAAGGGGGTTGCAAAACCACACAGAGGGGTCGAGAGAAGCTTTAAAGGGGCACAAGACAAGCTCCTGGACGTGATGGGGCCACTGGCCCATTTGACGTACCTGGCGGATAACACCTTCGCCAGAGCAGACTCATTTACTGCGGACATGGTGCGTGAATGGGCACATGATATCTGAGAATGGACCCAGAGGGGTTTCTGCTTTCTCTGGAACACCAGTGCGGCCCTCTCAACAGAGCGGCACCACACAGCACTCTTCCGCATAGACCCCAAACTGGCCGATCTGGGGGTAAAAGAATTGGGCCCACAGGCACAGCGTAAACTTTTTGGTGAGGCCTTTATGAAAGAGCTTAATAAGCACGTTAACGTGTTCACCTCACTGAACAGAGCCCGCATATCCATGCGCAAGGTCTTCAGAGGTAACCCTTCAATGAGTGTTTTTCTCCAGGGCTGATCGGCAACGGGGCCGTGCCACCAGCCGATTCTGGCCATCAGGCCCCTGTATGAGACGTCCACAGCTCTAGACAACATTACCCCTACTACCAAAGGGGCACAGACAGAGGATGTGGTGGTCGCAGACGTACCCGCGCAAGATTCCCCACAGGTAAGAGACCAACACATATCAATGTCTCAACTAACCATGACTGCCGGCCGTGTTTCTCTTTTTTTCCAGAATTGGGCAAAACTATCCACAGATGCTTGGGTGTTACAGACGGTCAACCGGTACCACATAGAATAACAAACGTTCCCCGTACAGAGGTACCCTCCTCGTCCCTTATGCCTCTCAGCTTCAGATGCTCACCTCATAGAAGTGGAGCTCCACAAGCTACGCACGCTATACAACCCGTGCGCAAACAATTAGGCTTCTTCAGCAACATGTTTCTCGTCCGCAAGAAAACCAGGGATTTTAGACCTGTAATAAATTTAAGATAACTGAATGCCCATGTGACCTACCACCACTCAAAATGGAAGGCATACACGTATTAAGGGACCTCCCCCAAGAAGGGGACTGGTTTACGCACCTAGATCTCAAGGACGCATACCTGTCGACAGTGGTGTATCCTGGTTTTGTGCTTCCCTAGGCAGGACAAAACTCAGGCGCCCCCCCCCCCCGCGCTAACCCCCCCGCAAACTGCCTTCTAAATACACACACACATACATTCACTGACAGATACGCATACACTCGCTAACAGAAACACACACACACTAACAGACACACACACACTCACTGACACACACACTTACAGGCAAACACACTCACACAGTCAGACACACACACTAACAGACACACACTCACTAGCAGACACACACTAACAGACACACACTCACTCACTAGCAGACACACACTCACTGACACACACATTAACAGACACACTCACTGACACACACACTCACAGACACACACACATTAACAGACACACACACACACACACACATTAACAGACACACACACACACACTCACAGGCAAACACACACTCACTGACACACAGTCAGACACACACTAACAGACACACACTCACACAATCAGACACACACACACACTAACAAAACACACACACATTAACAGACACACACTCACTCACATTAACACATTTTTTCTTTTTTATTTAACCTCCCCCCACAACCTCCTTACCTTTGGTAGTGCTGGGGGGGAGGGGTTCATTACCTCCCTGGTGCTCCAGTTGCTGCTGGGCTGGGCGGGCGGCTGGCGAGGGAGCTGAGCAGACCGCTCAGGGGAAGAGCTCCCTCGCCAGCCGCCCGCCCAGCGCCCGGCATGTCAGTTAGCCACGAGGCTAACTAGGCATTTGCCCTGGGCATTTGGGGGAAATTTGCCCTGGAAAATGCCGCCCAAGGCAAATGCCTAGTTAGCCTCGCGGCTAAAACGCCCCTGCCTGTCGATCCCAATTCACGAAGACAGCTGTCCCTTCCTTCGGTTCCTACGGCACGGCTTCCCATGGCAATTCACTTGCTTCCCTTTCGGGCTAAGCTCTGCACCATGGTGCTTCACGAAAATGTTGAAACCAGTGGTAACCCACCTCAGAACTTGTGGGATCAGATGTATCATTTACCTGGACGACATACTCTTATTCTGCTGTACGAGAGAACTGGCTGTACAACATACCGACTATACGGTACAATTGTTGGAGTCCCTGGGTTTCATCATCAACAGGGCCAAGTCCGCAATGACCCTCATGCAAAAAATTAAATTCCTGGGCTTCGAGATAGACTCCAGGTCTTGCACACTCCACCTCCAGTCTACCAAAGTGACGGCCATCAGGAAAGAGATCCGCAGAGTACTCAAGCTCGACTCCATTCCGCTCCGGATCGTTGGCCTACTCTCTTCATCAATACAAGCCATATTTCCAAGCCCCCTTCATTACCATGCCATGCAACGGTTGAAAGCCCGCTTCCTTCGATGGAACCTCACGTACAACCAACCAGTCCTGCTGACTGACAAAGTGCACCAAGAACTCGAATGGTGGCTCAGCTGCATGCAAGTATGAATGGTCGTGCCATCTTCGGCAACCACCCGGACTTCTTGCTGGAATCGGACGCGAGCCGACTGGGATGGTGGCACCACGGATGGGGAAGAATCCATGGAAGGAACGTGGACAACCCAGGAACTCTCGATGCATATCAACTGCCTGGAACTAATAGCGCAATCATTTGCTATATGCAGCCTAGTGAAAGGACAATCCAATTGTTGTATACTTCTACGGATGGACAAAATATCTGCAGTATGGTACATCAACCACTTGGGAGGGACTCGTTCACAAACACTGGTGAATTTGACGAAGAAAATCTTCAACTACTGCCTCCCTTGCAACATCACGATACGTGCAGAACATTTACCAGGGGAGTCGAACCTTACCACAGATTGGTACTCCCGACACTTGAGAGATGCCAGCGATTGGCAATTAAACTGGCAGATATTCGTCTACCTGAATGAATGGAAAGGACTCTTCCTACTGGATCTGTTTGCCTCACGCAACAACCATCAATTACCACAGTTTTACAGCTGGCTCCCAGACCCGGATTGCTCGGCGGTGGATGCTTTCACCCAACACTGGCCAACACAAGGGGCTTATGGTTTTCCCGCATTCGCTATGATTGTGAGAGTTCTCCACCACATCCGGAGACGAGTAGTGAAGTTGACAGTCATGACACCCCTCTGGCCGAGCACTGTGCCGATATAGGATTGTGATGTTTCCAGACCTCTTTGAGATGTCCTGCGAGGACCCAATTCTTCTGCCGAACGACTCCACCCTACTCAGGGATCCAGTGGGGAACCCACATCCTTTGCTCCTGGACGGATGCCTATCCTTGGTTGCCTGGACTCTTTCAGGGGAGCATGGTGTACCAACTACTTATCGACGACTAAGGATCTTCTGTGGGACTGCTGGGCCCCTGGAACGCAAAAGAACTACTTATCTGCATGGCGATCTTGGACCAGTTGGTGCATGGGACAGGACCTGGATCGCTTTACAGCTCCTGTTTCCGATATCATGAATTTCCTCTCATCAATCTTCGAGGAAGGTAAGTCGTACCGCACCATCAACGTCATCAGGTCCGCTATATCGGCAGCCCATGTACCATCCCAAGGAAGAGCGGTCGGGCAGGATCCTTTGATCTGTCGACTACTATGGGGCATCAAACTGAGACGACCTCCAGCACCTAAGTACCAACATCTATGGGATGTGGACGTTGTACTCAGATTCCTGAGGGGGTGGCCCTCTAACGAACTACTATCCTTAAGACAACTGACAGCCAAGTTCACCTTCCTGTTGTGCCTGGTTTCGTTTCGTCGCGTCTCGGACGTTCGGGCGTTCGATAAAGACTCCTTTACTATCGATCCGGAAGGAGTCACATTCCATATTTCACGGCGGACTAAATCCAACTCGTCATCAGTCTTCTATCCGTTCTTCACCTTGGACCCCCAACTTTGTGTGGTCAAGGCTTGCAGGCATATGTGGCGGCAACGGAGACGTTGCGCCCACCGACAGCCCGACAGCTATTGGTGTCATATGTTAACCCTCACGGTCCAGTTTCGGTCATCACACAGGCCAGATGGATCAGATGACTCCTCTCCCTAGCAGGTATAGACCCGTCTTTTGGCACGCACTCTGTGCGAGGGGCAGCGGCATAATCGGCTTTTATGGCAGGCGCATCTGTCAGACACATTACAAGCAGCAGACTGGTGCCGCGAATCAACGCTACGGACATTCTATTTCCGTCCGTCATCCAATGCCACGTTCGCTCTTCTACCTAAGCATTAAAATTGCAAAATATGAAGCCTCCTGTCATGTTGTAAAATTGAAGATTATGCTAGCACAGTGTACTAATAATCTTAATTTTAATAATGACAGGAGGCGAGTATTTTCCACCCATTTCGACTTGATGTTCCCACCCTAGACTGAGGTAAGTTAGAATTAATGGGTACTACTCTGTATTTGGATTAAATCTATGTATTTGTACGAACTTTGGTACTATTGCAGATGTTTATAATAATGTGGATTGATTCTGTATGATAACATCTTATGGTTAGTTTAATTAATTATATTAACGTTTTCTATATACTCATAGACATATTTTTTAATACGGTCGGTTCTGTATCACTGAAACTAGCCTCTCTCTTTTCTTTCAGTTTAACAAGTCATCTGAATCGTTGGGAGGAATCAATTCCCTTATCGTTTTTCTAAGTTGGATCGGACATGTTATTCATTGAATTATGGACTTGTGATGTCGCATATGTCAAGAGGAAGTGAGATGGATATGCTTAGACTTATATACACTCTGACTCTGTTCTGATTGGTTCTTTATTTCAACAGTTTTTTCTTTGCTGCTATGGAGTTAGTAAAGAAAGTTAATGCAAAATACTCGCCTCCTGTCATTATTAAAATTACAATTATTAGTACACTGCGCTAGCATAATCTTCAATTAATGATAAGCTCTTCATTTTGAAATAAGTATATACATTGTTTAGACTCAATCTTTGATTATTTTTCAATTCGTTCAATTCATCTTGTTTAAACATCTTAAGCACTACACGGATGAACCACTAATGTTGATGTACTCATATTAAATATTAATCTTTTTTGGGGCTGACTCGCTGTTAAAGGACAAATTGTGCACTTATGACCACTACTAGAACTGAATGCTATTAAATAAACCGTGATCAGAAATATGCAATACTCCTATATAAATCTCGTAGCCTTCATAAAAGTTTTTCTTTGATTATCCTAGTACAGGGGTAGGCAACCTTTTAGCAGCACTGTGCTGATATAGGATTGTGATGTCCCGTAGCATGCCGGTCCTATTTTTTTAAATTGAGCTGTGTATGCTGCTGTATTCTGCTTGTGTTATGGTTACTGCAGTTGCCTTGTATCGTTGTATTTGTGTGTATATGTTCATTAGTAGTTTA